TCTCGTGGTCCTGCTCCTCGCGCCAGAGCCGCTCCTGCTTCAGGATGATGCCGCGATTCTTCTGCTCCTCCGCGATGAAGGCGTCGAAGCGGGACGTCACCACGCCCCCCGTCTCGTCGAGCTCGCTGCTCAGCATGAGGTCCAGGCCCTCGAAGGTCGGGTGCCTCGGGCACCGCTTCACCGCCCTCTGGATCTGAAGGGCGCGGCGAGCCAGCAGCTCGAAGCTCGCGAGGTTCGTCACATCCAGGCGATCGTACACCAGCGCGTGATGCAGCACCTCGAGGATCACCTTCAGCTCGTGCGACGGCCCGCTGAGCCTCGCCACGCCAGACTGCTCGACCCAGTAGCCCCAGTACGCGGTCAGCGTGAGCCCCGACGCGTCGACCGCCTCCAAGAACTCCGGCAGCGCCTTCGGGCCCCTGAACGGCCAGGACGGGTCGTCCTGAGGCTTCAGGGCGGCTATCACCGAGCTCAGCTGGACCCGCTTGCCCTGAGCCGGCGGCGGGAGCGGCAGGATCCGAGGGTCGCGACCAGGACCCCGCCGCTTCTCGGCCACCCAGTGCGAGTGGTCCTCCGCTTGCACGTTCTCGATGGCCACCCATCCAGTCTCGTCGTCCACGAGGGCCAGCCCCACCGCGTCGCGCCCCACGAACCGGTCGGCGTTCGCGGCCAGGCCCGGCTCGACCTCGTCGCCGAAGCCCTCGACGGCGGGATCCGCGATCACCCAGCGAGCCACCCGCGCGCCAGGTGGGGCGGCTGGCACGGCAACCCCCAGCACCCGGGCGAGGTTCCGCCCCTCGATGCGCAGGTGCTCCAGCGCGTCCTGGTCCAGGTCGCCGAAGGCGTACACGTTCCCACGGACGCGCTGCGGAAAGGGGGCGTTCCGCGTGAGCGCAACCACGAGGTGCGCCGAGAGCTGCAGCACCAGGACCTCGCCGTCCGGCGTCGCGGCCACCCACTCCCCAGGCGCGTGCCCAGGGACGAGGAGCAGCCGGTGGTGCCACCGGAAGTTCTCGTCGTCGTCGAAGTTGATGCAGATCTGGCTCTCCGCGACGTCGAGCGTCCTCGGCCCCGCCGCCATCAAGCCCTGATGGCACGGAAGCGCGCCTGCCTGCCGTCGCCGCGGTCGACCTCGACGACGCTGCCAGCGCCGCCGTCGCTCTGCGCGAGGAGGAGCACCGCGCGCCTCGCGAGGCGCCGCACACCTCCCAGGCCCACGGCAAGCGCCCACGCCAGCACGAGGCCAGCGGTCAGGCCGAGCCCCAGCCCAGCCGCGAAGCCCCAGCAGGCGGCCGGGGCGGGCGAGTCACAGACCGCCGCCGCCGCCTCCTCGCAGGCCGCCGCTGGGCAGGCCGGGCAGGAGGCCTCTGGACCCGCAGCCCAGCTGACCGCCGGGCAGCCAGGGCACGGCGGGCACGCCGGGCAGGAGCCGCAGTGCGGCTCGCAGCGGAGCTCCGCCGCTGGGCAGGCCGGGCAAGGCGGGCAGGGCGGCGGCCGCGCCAACCAGGCGGCCCCCAGCTGCCCCAGCCAGGGCGCCGCCGTGCAGAGGGCGCCCAGCATCCACCGCGGAGGCTGAGCCGGAGCGGACCCCCGAACGGCTTCGAGCCAACACATCACCACGGGATCAGACTGCACAGATCAAGAGGCTCCGTTCAAGGAAAAAGAGTCGAACGACAGACTATAAAGTTGTGTCCTGAACAAGCTCCTGTACTCTTTAGATTCCGTTTGGTTTCTGAAGGCAGACCGTGCGCGTTTAGACGCCACTGCAAATGCTTACGTGGTTTGCTGGGAATTCGTCCGTCCTTCTCTTCACGGGTTAGCAATGCAGTTGTGCTTCAAAAAGCATCCGCTCAACCTCTGTCGAATATTTTGCTGGCCAGGCAAGTTGCTTTGTACAATAGAATTATGAATTCGGGATGCCCGGCGCTTGTCAAAGCCGCTGTCTGTAATGACGATGGAACCCCCAAGAGATGGGCTGGGCGCCGAAAGAGGGACCGCCCCCGCCAGCAGTGGGCGAGTCAGGTATACAAGTTGTCTCAGCATGTATAGCAACGGTGCTCTTTCCCCTCCGCCCCCCCGTTTCCTCCTCTCCCTCCGCTCTGTATTCCAATGTCGTGATGCGCTTTGTTTTTCTGCGTCACAGTCGTGATGCGCTCGGTTGTTCCGCGTCGCCGTCGTGAGGCATTCCGCTTCTGCTTCACAGTCGAGTCTGTGCGTGCACGCAGCCGCTCTGTAATGTCTTTTCAGTCATACTTTTCTGAAGAGTTGCCAATCGCGCACTCTTCTGCCCACGCGCCCCTCTGGACGCTCGGCTCAGTGGTGGTGGAGCTGCCACCCACCCCATTCACTCCGTTCGACGGCTGCCAAAACTATCTGTTCCACTGCATGCCCCCCCAACTTCCATGATCAAACCTACGCAAAGCGATTAGGATCTTAACCAGGAGTAGGGACGACCAGAAGGAATCGAAACTGGAGTGGAACTCCGCTGTTCCCCCATCAGTGCTTGCACTGCCGGGGCCCTGACGGAAATCGAGAGGCTTGGCGACAGATGCTGGCCGCCTTCGGTGAGCGGCTGGGCTCCTGGGCTCCAGTTTCCGGGTTCCCGGGTCCCGTCTGCTGCTGCCGGACCGACTTCGGTGGGCGGCGGGGCGGTCGCACGGGCCGCGCTGCTCTTTTTGTTGGCTTCCGCGCACTCTGCAGGCGCGCGTGGAACAAAACGCGGGAGGGTCTTGGTGAAGCGAGCGCGCAGGCCGAGATTGAAACTGCCAGGCACGCCGCGGGGCAGCAGTGGTGGACGCCGCGAGGCCGCCGAGCTCAGATCGCGAAAATGAGCACGCCGCGGCGTCCTCTGAGGAGGTGCGACTGCAAGATTACAGGGTGAGCGACAAACAAGATTACCCGTCGGTCGGGCGAAGTGGGTAGAAACATGGAATGGGAAGGCGTTGGGAAGCATATCGGGCTTCCGCCCGCCCCCCGAGGAGAAGAGAAGAGGGAAAACCACTCGACCGCGAAAGTAGAAGGCGGCTGAAGTACATATGGGGCCTCGGCGGTGGACAAACCTCCCTTTAGCAAACCTCCCTCTTAGTGAAAACAGCCTAGGACCCGAAACCGACGGACCTGGACCCGCAAAAGTGACGGCCGCGACGCCCTCCCGCGAACCGAAAACGGCCAATCCGCTTATCGACGTGTCAGGGCAGGAGGTCTATCCACCCCCGAGGGGCCTGGGGATCCGAAGGTACCTCGGATCCAACGACCGACAAGCAGCCTCGATTTGTTTATCGGCGGCGAGCTGGCTCCAGCAGGCGGTCGGCCAGCCGCGGGGCGCGTCGGAAGCAAACACGACGGGTTCGCGTCGTGTCGACCCCGGCGGTGGTTCCTGGCACCACGGGGAACGTTCAGACTCGAACGATCGGCCGTTTCCGAGACGTCCGAGTCGTTCCACATAGAGCGATTCTGGGTCGCCCGCGGCGTTCAACGTTGGACGCCGCTGGCGGGATCGCCGCCGGTCGACACGGCACAAACCTGCTGTAGGGCACGCAGGAGTGGGGAGGCGGAAGGCCGGGAAGGGGGAGGGCCACGCACACCAGAAGCGCCCTCGGAGCGCGAAGCACTTCGGGATGCGCCAGAGGCGGGAAGTCCTCGTCAGCATCAGTGCGTCTACGGAGGCAATGCAAACCCAGGGTGGGAAAATGATCATGCAAGCGGTGGTCTTACACAAGAAGACAATGACCTTGCGCGATGGCTCACGCAGGCCGCCAGCGCGGCACACCACGTGGAACAGGTAGCGCTCACGTGCGATCTTACGCGGAGAACTCATGCGCGAGTGTCTGTGCGGCCGACTCCGTTTTTCTGACGCTCGAGCGGGAAGAGCACATTGCAAACCATGCCCCCTGCAGGTAGCCCCAAGATGGCGGTGCGGGCTGTGGCCACAGGTGGCAGCGGTCGGGACACCTGGAATGCCGCACCCCGCGAACAGGACCACGAAGCAGCTGCTTCGAAGGTGCCAAACATCGGCGGCGCCGCCACACAGCACCGAACGGAACAACGGGCGACCAGACCTGACCAAGTCTGGCGGCGCGCCAGATGCGGGCACGACAACAGTGGGCGGCCTCTCGGAAGACGACGGGCGGATGGCTTCCCAGGAGGGAGGGAGGGCCTTCCAAGGAGGCCCCTAACTGCCTCTGGGAGGCCGCACCGCCGCACCCCCTCTCTTGCCCCACCCTACGACCCACCGACCCGCGACCACCCACACGGCACGGCACGGAGCCGAGCGACCAAATCCGAATCCAGTGACTGGCACCGCACAACGCGGCCTGCGCGCCCGAACCCGACCTCGTCGCCCTCGGCGCGGCTTCCCACAGCACCGCGCGGCGCGGCAGCGGGCGGTTGAGCCCGAGCCAGGGAACACCCGCGCGGCACCGCTGCTGGGCTCAGCGGTCGGATGGCCAGGGGGGCACGCGCCAGCGAATTCGCCCCGATGCGGGAGAACGAGCAGACAGAGGGGCCGCCGCAGCGCACAGAGGAGGAGGAGGAGGAAAAGGAGGAGGAGGAGGAGGAGGAGGCGGAGGAGGAGGAGGATTTTTTCAGCCTACAGAGGCGGCGTCAGCGTCTGGAGCAGGACCCGACGCGCCACGCGGCACCACAGGACACGACACCAAATGGCCGAATCCGCCTCCGCGACCGCCCACACGGTTTTACACGGTACGGCACCGCAAATGCCGAAGCCATCAGAGATCGTGGTGGTCTGAGGACGCCAGCCCGACTCTCGCTGTTCAGCGAGGGATCAGTGACCAGTGGGAGAAGGGGGGGAGGGAAAGAGGAGGAGCGGGGAGAGGATTCAGACACAAAACTGTCGACGGCGCCAGCAACTTGCCTTCTCGTGTTTGCGGGCATCCGCGCGCCCTTACCAATGCTAGCGTTTCTCCTCGGCCTCGGACATCGACCCCCGATCTCCTTCGATCTCCTCTCCTCCCGTCTGCCCCTCCACCCGGGCGCCTCGATCATGCTCCGAGCGCTGGGACGTTCCGGGGGGCCGCCTCCGCGGGAACCAGGAGTGCGTAGACGGCGGTGAAGCCGTGGAGTGCCGGGGGGCGCATGGCAGTGCCCTTCTCTGGCGCCTCCGCCTCGGGCCTGCCCTTCTCCGACGCAACCGCGAGGCCCGGGGCGCCGATCTCCCCGTTGCAGAAGAACCCGGCTACCCTTGTGCCGACCTCGTCCCCCAGCACCTCCGCGGCCGCGCGGGCGTCCACGTGCCGTTGCCCATACAGCGACTCGCCGCGGCCGTTGCAAGTGAAGAGGAATGCGCCCATGGCATCCCCGATGTTGCCGCCGACGGCCTTCTCGAGCCGGTACCTTTTTGGGGGGCTCCTCTTTATCTTCGCCACCACCAACACCTCATCAGCGTCACCATGAAAGACTTCACCCAAATGATCATACTCATCATGACCATCACCAGCGTCAGTATTGGTTCTGATCATCCTACGTATCAGCGTCAAGGCATGCATCAGCATCGTCATCATTAAAATCATCGCCATCGACATCGTCATCGTCATCGGGATCAACATCATGGTCATCATAATCACCATCATCATCATCACCATCATCATCAACATCGTCATCAGCATAGCATCATCATCATCATCATCATCATCATCAGCAGCATCAGCATCATCATCATCATCACCATCATTGGCATCGTCATCGTCATCGTCATCATCATCGTCATCAGCATCATCATCAGCAGCATCATCATCACCATCACCATCATCATCATCATCATCATCATCATCATCATCATCATCAACATCATGATAATCATCATCATCATCACCACTGCACCACCACCATCATCATCGTAATCATAATCAGAATCATCAAAGTCATCATCATCGTCATCATCGGAATCATCAAAGCCAATCGTCAAAGACATCGTCGCCATCGTCATCGTCATCGTCATCGTCATCATCAGCATTTTCCCCATCATCGGAATCAGCATCATCATCATCAGCAGCAGCATCAGCATCATCAGCATCGTCGTCATAGCCGTCGTCAACATCATCACCACCAATATCAAAATCACAAATTGTATCAGCATACGTAGGGTCATCGTAATCATAGTGAGCATCATCATCGCCATCACCGTAAACAGACTCATCCCCACTTGTCTCCTCACCATCGATTGTAACCACAATCCGCCGACCCTTTGTGGGTCTCGAGGCGTGTGAGCTAGTTCCCCGCCATAACCCCCCCCCAGGGACCCTAAACCGGAGATTTGACCCCCCCCCGGCCCCGGGGCACCCACCGCCGAACGCGTCATGGGGAAGCAGAAGGTCCCAAAACGGGCCAAAATCGCACAAACGGGCCCACGCGACGGTCCGAGAAGGCCCCAAGAGGCCTCCAAGACGGCGCACGAGGGCCCAAAGACGCCAAACGAGCGTTCCAAGACGCCCAAGATGGCCCAAAGACGGGCTAAGAAGCCTCCTAGACGGCCCAAGAGGTCCCCACGAGGTCCCAAGAGGCCTCCAAGATGCGTCCCAAGAGGGTCCCTAGACGCAAAAATTGGCCCATTCCCTACGTAACATACAAGTTTAACAAATTCGATTTCTGGGCTTTCCGATGCTCCCAGACGGCCCAAGAGGCCCCCAAGACCGCCCCAAGACGGCCCAAGAAGCCTCCAAGAGGGCCCCAAGATAGCCCAAGAAGGCCCCAAGACGGCCCAACAGGCGTCCAAGACGGCCCAAGAGGGCCCCGAAGACGGCCCCAAGAGCGCTCCAGGAGCGCTCCAAGTGGCCTCCAAGAGAGCTCAATCTGGTCCCAGACGGTCCAAGAGCGATCAAAGACACCGAAGATGGCCTCCAGACGGCCCAAGATGCCCCCAAGAGGCCCCAAGAGGCATCCAAGATGCGCCCCAAGAGGGCCTCTAGACGCAAAAATTGGCCCGTTCCTTTCGTAGAACGTACATGTTTCACAAGTTCGCCTCTTGGGCTTCCCGACGCTCCCACACGGCCCAAGAGGCCCCCACGACCGCCCCAAGAGGGCCCAAGAAGCCTGCAAGAGGGCCCCAAGACAACCCAAGAGGGCGCCAAGACGGCTCCAGAGGCGCCGAAGACGGCCCAAGAGAGCCCCGAAAACGGCCCCAAGAGCGTTCCAGGAGCGCTCCAAGTGGCTTCCAAGAGAGCTCAACATGGTCCCACACGGTCCAAGAGCGATCGAAGACACCCGAGATGGCCTCCAGATGGCCCGAGACGCCCCCAAGAGGCCTCCAAGATGCGTCACGAGAGGGTCCCTAGACGCAAAAATGTGCTCATTTCCTTCGTAAAACGTATGTTTAAAACAAATTCGCCTCGTGGGCTTCCCGACGCCCCAAGACGGCCAAAGAGGCCCCGAAGACCGCCCCAAGACGGCCCAAGAGGCCCCCAAGACGGCCCCACGACGGCCCAAGAGGTCCCCAAGACGGCCCAAGAAGGCTCCAAGAAAGCTCCAAGACGGCACCAAGAGGGGCCCAAGAGGGCAACCAAAAATTCAAAAATCTAGCTTTCCGCCCCCACGAGCCCCAGGGGGCCCCAAGAGTGCCCCAAGAGGCCGCCAGAGGCCCCCAAGAGGCCGCCAAGACGTCCCAAGGAGCCCCCATGAGGCCCCCAGGAGGCCCCCCAAAGACCCCCAGACGCTTCCGCATTGCGAGCCGTCAAGCCAACTGCAATGCACTCCGCGCATACAGCCTTACTCTTCCTCGCGACGTGCTCACTATCTTGCTCGGCGCTGATGTGCTGCTGCCGCGCGAACTGTTTCGTGCGCGCTGCGAACGTCAACAGTCTCTTCACCCGTTTCGACTCATCTGCCACATCTTTCGCGGTGATGCCTCGCTGATCACAGCTTCCGCACACTACTCTTGCTCCTTTCGTCTTCCGGTGGTCCTCCACTTGGTTGCGGGTCGAAAGGCCGACCTCCCAGAAGGACACCCCGCACCCGGGCGCACAGCACGCAAGGCGCTCGCAAAACACGCCCCAGACCACCGGCATTACGCAAACAGTTGGACCCCCTACGTATCTGCCACCACCCGCGCGCGACACCGCACCCTCACACAAGACGCCGCTGGCCAGAAACTCCTGGCCTCGCAACACTCACAGAAAAGGTCGGCGGATGTGGCGTAAGCCTGTAGAATCCACGTCCGGAAGTGACGTGTTGCCGGAGGCAGGTCCGCGGATGCTGTAATGCAATGGATCCAATGTGTCCAATGCTTGCATAATTCCTACATATTGTATTGTATTACATTATTATGTCTCCCCCCCTAACCCCCCCCCTGGAGTCGCGCCACTTCCATCGACCCTCAGGAGGAGGGCCCCTTCTGGGCCTCAAAATCTAGAAAAACCTATGGAAAACCGATGATTTGGGCACCTTGAGCCTTTTGGGGATCCAAGAGGGCCCCAAGACGGCTCCAGATGGCCCCAAGACGGCCCAAGACGGCCCTAAGACGGCCCGAGATGGCCCCAAGAGGGCCCAAAAAGAACCCAAGACGGCCCAAGAGGGCTCCAAGAGCGCCCACAAGAGCGCCTCCAGAGGCCAAAAACATAGATTTCCCTTACGTTTTTGAAAGATTTTAGTTTTCTCGCCGTTTTCGCCTCTCCGAAGCCCATGACGGCCCGAGCAGCCTCCAAGATGGCCCCAAGAAGGCCCAGGAAACACCCAAGGGGGCCCCAAGACGGCCCCAGAGGGCCACAAGACGGCCCAAAGAGGCCCCCAAGACGGCCCAAGAAACCCCTGAGACGGCCCAAGAGGACCCCAAGAGGGCCCCAAGGCGGCCGCGAGAGGCCCCCAAGAAGTCCTCCGAAGGGGCCTAACGGCGCGAAAGCGCCCCAAGACGGCCCAAGACGCCCCCAAGAGGCCCCAAGAGTTGAGGTTTGCCTGGCGCTTGAGAACCTCGGATTCCTGGAAACAATTAAGTTGCCCAAAAGTTGTCCCAAAGTTGTCCTCAGCCCCCCCATCAAAGTTGTACGAAAAGTTTCCCTCCCCACCTAGACCCAGCCGCGCAGTTGTCCTCTGAGGACAATTTCGAGCATGGCCACAGGCGGGCACCACGAGCTCCTTGCGCTCATCTCGAGCGCACAAGCTTTCCAGATGCTTGCCTGACTGCATATGTTGCAAGGCAAGGCAACGAGCGCGCACCTGTCCAGCGTCGCGAACCCTTCAGAGACACCTAGCAGGAATACGCAATCATGCGTCACCGAGTGGGAACTTTCAGTTCGACGGCACATGAGGAGCCACGCTCCCGCGGCCAAGTCCATTCGGCTATCTCCACGCGGCGGCGCCCGTTCGGGGGTGTACCGCATCACCTGGACAACGTCAACAGGGCCGCGTCTGCGCAGCTGAGATCCTGCTTAGAATGGCCCAGCCATCATTGGTCAATCGGCAACGTCCGCGCAGGCACGATTCGCGGAAGGCGCCGCCACGCCAAATACATTGCCGTGCCCAGTGGGCATTGCCAAGGCCACATATTCTGGGCGGCGATGTTATCTTTCGCCGCGTGAAAACGAATGTGTCTCTTCGCCTATTCCAGCGCGACCACGCCATTTGGGCGACGCCACGGGGGCGTCGCATCATTGGCGAGCTCCTTCAGCGGCGCCAGACCGAGGGCGAGCACCTTGCTGAGCGCCTCTGGCCACGTCCATGCACCCCAGTAGTTTCTGTTGCGTTGCTCCCCATGCGCTTGTCCCGTGCGTGCCATCCCCATCCGCCCATTCACCCGATCGGGGTCGGCTGCCCACGTGGCAGCGCCTTTTTGACCAAGGCGACCCAGCCGCATTTAGCAAGGCGCGCGCAGGTTGGACGCGCATAGGCGGCAGGGCGAACTGATCGCATCAACTCGCGAACCCATTGTCGGCGACGCAAGCGCGGCAACAGCAAGGTCGCCGCGCCCGTTGGGGCGCATGCCGCCCGCAATTGTCGTCCGCATGCTTCGTTGCCGAGCGGGCCCATTCAGCGCAGCAGCAATATCAGCACATGTGGCAGTGCTTTCGCTCACGCCGATTCCTCGCGCGCGCATGGAGTGCAAGCTTTTTCGGGCAATGGCATTTCCAGTCATGCGCGCGCCGAAGTGGTAGCATCTAGGCGGCTGCGCTCAGCGGGCCGCGTCTGGTCAGCCACGTCCGCCTGGCAGCGCGAGTCGGGTCGCGCATGCGCGGCAACGTCTGCGGCGAGCACTCCCGAAGCATGACTGGCACGCGTGCTCTGAAGCACCCGCGCGTGGACGCGCAACAACGCGCGTGCACGCAGGGCGCGTGCCATCCACATGCAAGCCCATAACACTTCCAGCATCGTCGATCCAACCAGGCTGCGCGAGGGGTACTCTTCGCATG